AAGCAGCTAAGGTTGAAAAGCAGGAAGTAAAGGTCAGTCTAGAGCCGGGGCAGATGGGAGTCCCAGCAGCTGATTGTCGGAGCGAACCGGTTCGCTCAACAGATGATCATCAGAGCTACCAATTCAGCTGAACCAGGCTGAACAGGTAGAATACCACCACTGCACACGAATCCCCCAACCCCGCCTACCTGGGTTCATGGCTTGTGGTGTTTCCCTCCTCTCTCCCTCCCTCCCTCCCTCCCTCCCGTTTCTGGTTTTCTCTTTTTTTCCCTCTCCCTCTCTCTTCTTTCCTTCCTTCCTTCCCTCTTTCCTTCTTACTTTCTTTTCTTTCTTTCCTCTCCTTCCTTTCCTTCTTTCTTTTTCTTTTTTTTCTCATTAAATAAGATAGCAAATCCAAAATAAAGTTATTAATTGTGGGAAAATGTTTCTCTGTAATCTTTTCATGGTGAACTCTAAGTTGATAGAAGCTGGCAAGATTGTACTAACAGCAATAGCACATATATTTTTATCTCTTTTGAGTTTGACAATATAAATACATTATCCAAAATTATAAATGATCTTATTTTCAGATGCATTTTTGCCATCTCTCTTATTTCTTTAAAAAAAAATCAGAATTGCTTCCAATTTGTGCCTTCTGGCAAACTGCAGTTTTCTTGGCAAACTATCTAGCTTGTCATTGGTTTCGTCATAGGTCTGATAGACTTCCTTCCTAGGCTTAAATCTATTTTCTCCATGTATTCAGTGGTAAAAGGAGCATAAATTCTTCCCAGAAAACATTTTATTTTATATTCTTTTCACTTGAGAATTATAATCTTCCCAAAGAACCTTGAGGACAAAGGGAAAAGATAAGGGAGTGGACATTCATATTCATGTCTCTATTTGACGTGGCAATAGCTGAGTCACTTTAGAAGTAACCTTAGCCCAGGGGTCTGCAACCTTAAACACTCAAAGAGCCATTGGGGCCTGTTTCCCACAAAAAAGAAAACACTGGGCATGGCCAACTCAATGTCACTCCCACTCAGTCATATGACACCCCCCAGACACACCTATTCAGGTTTTGTGGCTCCTGTGTTTTCTGTGGGAAAATGGGTCTCTCTGTCTCCTCCCTCTCTCCCTTTCATTTCTGTTTTTCTCTCTTTCTCCTTTCCCTATCTTTTTTTCTTTCTTTGCTTTCTTCCTTCCTTTCTCTCCCCTTCTCTCTCTCATTTGTTTCCCTCTCTTTTCCCTCTCTGTCATTCTCTCCCTCCAGCTTTCTCTCATTTCTCTCTCCCTCTCTCTCTCATTTTTTTCTCTCTTTCTCCTCTCTCTCATTCTCTCCATCATTTTCTAATTTCTCTCTCTTTTTCTCCCCTTTTTATCTCTCTCTCTCATTTCTCTCTCTTTCTGTCCCTCTCATTTGATTTTTTTCTTTTTCCTCTCCCTCTTCCTTCCTTTCTCTCCCCCTTCTCTCTCTCTCATTTGTTTCCTTCTCTTGTCTCTCCCTCTCTGAGTCTCTCCCTCCAGCTCTCTTTCATTTCTCTCTCCCTCATTTGTTTCTCTCTTTCCTCTCTCTCATTCTCTCCATCCATCATTTTCTAATTTCTCTCTTTCTCTCTCCTTTTCTCTCTCATCTCTCTCTCATGCGTGTGTGTGTGCTCGTATGTACAAGCAGTATACCCTCCTCGGCCAGGATCACAGTGGCGGCAGCGATGATGGCGACTCCTCCTCTTGCCACCACTGCATACTTAGCTGGGTCGCTTGCCACCCTGAGCAGGAAAGCTGGAGCTCTTCCCTCCCTGCATCCAGTGGGGGCAGCAGCTGCTCCTCCCCGTTCTCCTCCTTCCTGAGCCAACACTAAGAGGACCCTGGCTGGTACTGAGCGCTTGCAAAGGACATGGAATTGCAAAAGGCAACTGGTGGTGCAGAGAAAATACTAGGGGCACTTCAGCCGCGTGGCTCTGCAGAAAGGCTCACACCTTCCTGGGGTGGAGAACAAGTTGCAGATTCATGAAATCTTTAGAGATGGATATTTCATACCTATTGAGAAAGACTGGCCCATCTATTCATACACAAAGGGCCTTAGCCACAATTCTAAGAACAGTGTCAGAGCATATTCATTAACTGGCAGAGACATAGTTAATAAAGTAAGCATGGCAACAGACTAGCCAATGGGAGCTGACAGCCTGGGTGTGATTTGGCTCTGTGTGCTTTGCTGAGAATTGAAAATGAAACTATCTTGAAACTGATATCTGCTCTGAGCTGCTGCTGCTGCTGCTGCTTGTGTTTTTGCTTATGTTACGTTGAAAGAATCTACAAATGGCATGGTAAACTTTACTCATGTTAATATGTTTATTAAAAAGTTAATGATCCTGCTGAATCAATATGTGTGTTTTTCTGGATTTGAATTTCTGCTGCAAACTCTAACAAACAGGACATGACCTCTAGGACATAATAGGATTAACCTACCACCATTAGAATAGCAAAAGGCACAAATCTCACTACACTGCACAATCCCCTGGAGCTAGACCATCTCAGAGCCCTATACAAATCCATTCATTCCTAAGCCAAGGGGTCAGCCATCCCAGAAATATGCTTGCGTCAATGAAATTTCTAGAATCCAAATAAACCTTCTTTCCTTGCAGCCAATTAGCCCCCATTTTATTTCCAGTGCCTTTCACCCAGCTTGAAACCAGAGTGGATTTTTCTTCCAACATAAGTCAGGAATGGATGACGCTTAGGCCAGGCAGAAGTACTGTATAAATGTGGAATCAGGGACTGCAACATGCAAAATGGGACAACAGCTAAGACTACACTGACTCCAAAGGCAGGAAAAAGAGGCCTAGGATTGAAACGCTGCAAGTGAGGCTGGACTTCCTCTTCTGCAGGAGACACAGCTTGTGGTTCTTATTTGACTGCAATAAAGGAACTAAATTAGATGCATCGTGTCTATGAACTGCTATCCCTAAATATCAGGTTGCATTTCTGGAAAGTCCATGTTATTGCCAAGGCCAGGGAAGTCTGCCCAATACTATTGTAAAAAATTAAGACCCAAACTCTAGCAATAAATGGGGTTATAATTTCAATCAAGGAGGACATTAAGGTGATAGGAGAGCCAGATACATGATTCTTAAAGACTCAGTGGAAAGAAGGTTCCAGATGAGATTTTATTTTTGTCAGAAGTAACACTGGATTAAAATGGTCTTAGATACCATATCCTAAATGTTGGCTTGTTCTTTTCAAACTCACCCTAATAATTACACTTTTTAACTCTAGTTCAGATTTAAAAAGCCAGGTTTCAGGGTTTTACAGCTGTTCTTGATACAATGACAAATATTTTAAAAAAGTGTAGTATTTCTCAAAGCCCTGCAATGTAATGCTAGGGCATATTAACTTACATACACTAAGATATGTCCTTGGTCTTATACCTGACTCAGGATTATGATTAAATATTTGTTTGTATTTGTTAAGAGTACTTCTATTTCAGTTGAGCAACTCAAATTAGTATAAAATCATGATAAATAACACCACACACATCTGAGATAGCTAATTATCACATCTTTAACCCTAAATATCTGCATAAAAGCTTTCTTTAACAGCTTTCTTGATATAAATAGTGAGGTTGCAATATTTGCATCTAATGATTTCACAGGAAGGATGCCCCACACACTAAACCAAGAAACTAATGCCAAGAAAAAAAATCCAATGCCAAACCACAACCTAAAGAGAAAGTAATCCCCACCAATGAACCACAAGACTCCTGCACATGCCTTAAATGCTATAAAACTCTAAAGGATAATGAAAATTCCATCAAATGTTCTCTATGTAACAAATACGCTCATCATCACTGCTTGGGATTACCTGAGCAAATGATTCAATACTTAGAATCATCCAATGAGTTTCCATATCTCTGCAAATCATGCAGACCCAAACTGGATCTGTTTGAAAGAGTTGATACCACAGAAACACAAATAACATCCCTTGACACCATAGTAGCATCCCTGGACACTTTAAAAGAAAGATTATCCAACCTGGAAAAAAAAGTCACAACACAAAAACCTGAACATCCAATAACTACAAACCACATCTCTACCCAACATCCACAACCCAATCCACAAAAAAAATCATATATCAGACAAATAATGATATCCCAATCCTCATCAGAGAAGCTGTTGAGCGCGAATGGAAACGTCCAAACACCATCTTATTTGGTCTAGAGGACATCAATTACAATGATGACATCACAACTGTCCGAAACATCATCAATGATTATCAAGCATCAACCATCTCCCCTGATGAAATACTTGACATTTCCCGCATTGGCCAAGAGCTCAAAAACAGAGACGGCTCTATGGCCCCACGCTTCTGCAGGGTCATTTGGAAAAATGAATCAAGCAAACGTAAATTCATTTATACTATAAATTCACTTGACAAAAGCAACACCAACCATAAGAACCTCCATTCTCGTCCTGACCTAACCATACAGCAACATACCCGCTCCCGTGTATTCCACACACAATTCAAAAAACATCTAGACAATGGAGAGAAGGATCTGTACATTGACTACCGTGCTGACTGTATCAAAAGTAAGTCACACAACCCACAACTCAGCTTTAACCTTCAACCACAACCCTACTTCAACCAATCCACCATCACCCAAGACTAGGCACGCACGCTCTTAACTACCTCAATTCCAACTACAGCTGGCCTTAAATGCAAGCTACTCAATGCAAGAAGCCTTGTGAATAAAATACCTGAATTTCTCCTCTTACTAAATATGGCTAAATTCAACATCATATTTGTCTGTGAAACATGGCTCAACGCATCTCTCCCTGACTCCATTACCACAGTAAGAGACTATCATGTTTACCAATCAGATCGTGAAATTCGTAGAGGAGGTGGTGTTGCTATCTTCTATAAAAAGTCCTTACATCTAAAAAACATCCAAGTTACCCAGGAGCTTGCTCTTCCTGAGACCATCATCTGTGAACTATCCTTAAATATCACATTTCATTTCTTACTATGTTGCAGAGCACCTGATTATGACATATCGAACATGTAAACAAGCTAAATTCACTACTAACATGGGCAACATCCTACCCACACGCTTTTATCTTTCTTAGTGACTTCAATCTACCTCATATTAATTGGACCCTAAACAAATGTACAACTGAACCCATACATGGAACCTTCTACAATGCTGTTACAAATCTGGGACTGGAACAACTAGTAACCAACAATACTAGACTTAACAACTGCCTCGATCTCATCTTCTGCAGTAGTTTGAATTTAATTTACAGAATACAAACTAAAGAACCCTTTTCTAACAGTGACCACAATATGATTGACTTTTGTCTCAACATACACCCACACAAAAATCATCACAATGACGTAACCCCCAATTATAACTTCAAAAAAGGCAACTATGATCTTATAGACAATGATCTCTCATCCCTTGATTGGCAATCTCTATTCACTGGATGCAATACCGCTGAAGACCATTACAACATATTTTTACTTGAAGTCAAAAGAGTCATCAAACTATATGTACCAATAACAACTCCCAAAACAAACAAAAAATCAGATTACCCATAACAATAAGGAAACTTCAATCCAAAAAGAGATCACTCTGGTGGAAAAACAAATCTGGTCACGTTGCCAACTTCAAAAGCCGATACAAAAATTTATGCCACCGGATAAAGACTGAATGCACCAATTATCACATTAAACAAGAGAAAAACCTTCTGTGCAACAATTCCACCCGCACTTTTTACAATTTTGTAAACAACAAACTAAAAGACTCAAGGTCCATCCTACCCCTGACAGGACCTAATGGTAAAGACTGCAATGACGACACCATTAAAGCCAACATCTTTAACACATTCTTTGGCTCAGTATTTGTAAACAGCAATAGATCATGCCCAGTATTTCCTAGCTGAACCACAGAAAACTACAATGATCTAATACATATTGATTTTACAGAAGATAATGTTGAAAAAGCACTACACAATCTAAAACCATCTCTATCTATTGGACCGGATGGAATATGTGCCTACTTCCTAAAAAAGCTATCCACTGCCATAGCAGAACCTCAAAGCATAATCTTTGAAAAATCTTTCAGGACCAGCTCCGCCACTTAGAGACAAACAACCTACTCTCTAATAAACAATTTGGTTTCAGAAAAAAACTATTCTGTAATCTGCAACTCTTAGACTGAAAAACATATGGACTATAAAACTCGATCAGGGCAAAACAATAGATGCAATCTACATAGACTTCTGTAAAGCCTTTGATTCAGTGGTACACGACAAACTATTCCTCAAACTAAAATCTTATGGTATCTCTGGACAACAGCATAACTGAATAGAAGAATTCCTGTCAAGCAGACAACAAATGGTCAAAATTGAGAGTGTCCTATCAAATTCTGTACCTGTCAATAGTGGTGTGCCCCAAGGCAGTGTTCTAGGACCAACTCTCTTCATACTCTACATAAATGACCTCTGTGATCATGTTAAGAGCAACTGTGTTCTCTTCGCTGATGATGTAAAGCTGTTCAATACTACAGACAATACTGCTACTCTTCAAAAAGATCTTGACTATGTATCAGAATGGTCAAACAAATGGCTACTTCAAATCTCAACAAATAAATGCTCTGTCTTACATATTGGCAAAAAAATTTCAGAAAATAAAATACAAGCTGAATAGTCAAGACCTTGTTTATGATCCAAGCTCTGTAAAGGACCTTGGAATGCTCATCTCTAATGATCTAAATGCTAGAGCCCACTGTAACTACACAGCCAAATGGGCATTAAGAGTTCTTAACCTAATCCTACATAGCTTTTTCTCTGGTAATATCACACTACTAACTAGCACATACAAAACATTTGCTAGACCAATACTCGAATACAGCTCATCAGTCTGGAACCCACATTATGTATCTGATATAGCACAATCGAGAAAGTCCAGAAATATTTCACAAGAAGAGTTCTCCACTCCTCTACTCGTTGCAGAATACCTTATGCTAGACCTAGAAAACCTTGAATTACGCCACCTTCAGTCTGATCTAAGTATGGTATATAAAATCATACGTTGCAATGTCCTACCTGTCAAGGAATACTTCAGCTTCAACCATAACAACACAAGAGCACACAATAGATACAAACTCAAGGTAAACCGCACCAAACTTGATTGCAGGAAATACAACTTCAGCAACAGACTGGTCAATGTCTGGAATACTCTACCTGACTCTGCGGTTTCTTCCCCAAACCCCAAAAACTTTAACCTTAGACTGTCTACTACTGACCTCACCCCTTTTTCCTAAGAGGTCTGTAGGGGGCATGCATAAGCGCACCAACGTGCCTACCATCCCTGTCCTATTGGGTTTTTTTAATTTTTCTTATATGTACCTATTTCATGTATTCATAATTATGTATATACTTAAACCTATTATCTTGTAAGCGATTGATGAATCAAAATAAATACATAAATAAAAATAAAATAAACTCCAAATCCCGATTTGTTGCACTCCAAATACCGCAAGGAGGGTGATGACTCTTAACAAATACTCTCTGTTGTCCTACCTTGGGCAGTCAGAGTCTTCCAGAAACAAGCAGTTTCACAGGTACTAAGCTATGTAGGACTTCATAATTATGACCACCACCTTAAATTGCAGCCAGAAACAAACAAAAAAGACAACCAATGATGCTCTGACAGAAGAAAAGTTATGTGGGAGTAATACAACACTCTTGTTAGTTTCTGGGCTGCCATGTCTGCACCAGGTCTAGTTTCTCAGCAATCTTCAAGGACAGTCTTATGCAGAGGGGATTAAAATAGACCAATTGCAAGATGACAAGGATGTGAGTAAATAATCCAAGCATTTCCTATCCCATAAAAGTCATACTGATACTTACACTCACCTCCAAACAAAATTATACAAAGGCCTTTTTGGTTACAATCTCCACTTGCTGATTCAGCAGGAGCCGTGAGTTCAGAAAGACCCCCAGATGACAAAACAGTTCCTTTGTGGGAAATTCAACTGTATTTAGAACTAAAAAAAACTGAAATCATTTTGGAATCAGTTGGCTATCCACATTATTTTGTTTGGCTTGAGCTTCTTCCTCATCCAAACCTTATAGAGTTCAGACCCTGGGTTAAGTTTTTCACGCTATCTCAAAGTTGGCCTGGGGTGGATATTTTGTATAACTGGGGATCATCAGTCTACAGATGATATCATACAAATCATCAGATTAATCCTCCCAGTAGCTTTATATGGATATTAAACAAATGAAAGAGAGAGGATCGAGCATCATAAGTAGAGCAGACATCATAAAGTAAAGTACCTGAAGATATGATGGCTTAATCTCTCTTCTCTCAAACACATCAGCTGGAATTGCCCCATCAGGAAGGAGCAGAACCACTATAAAATGATGCTTCCAATCAATGAGTTTCACAGAAGATTCCGAAGAAAACCACAGTGATACTGAAGGGAAATGAGTCTCAGCAGGGTAAGGAAAGCAATGTTCCAGCATTTAAGTCCATAACAGGCTATCCATAAGAGCAACCAATAGTTTCCATGTCATGCCTGGATCTCAATTCTGCAACAGATAATCTAATTCTTCCAGAGCTTTTTCTGTAATTGCCACTCTACCTTTTTTCTCAATAACCTTCCCCCAAAAGGGAATAAAGACTGGCTGATAGTAAAAGATCTAAAGTTATCACTGCGAGAATGGGATGCAAAGGACTCTCTGCCAACACTGTCATGACTGGAACATACAGCTAGAGGGATTTAAATTGCTCAAAAGAAACAGACCTAATAAAAGAGGGGCTGGAGTTGCAATATATGTAAGAGATAGATACTGCTCTTTAGAAATACAATATAAAGATGAAAACCTCCTAGAATGCATACAGGCTAATAAAAAAAGGAAAAAGAATGGCACTGCCATAGGTGTATACTACAAGCCACCAAACCAACCAGAATAGATGAACTTTTCAGTAACCAGTTAACAAATGTATGCAAAAAAGAGACCATAGTAGTAATAGGGACCTTTAACTATCCTTTTATCAACTGGGAGACAAATTCTGCAGCAAGTGAGACATTAAACAAATTCCTGACAAGCCTAGAAAACAATTTTATCTCCCCAAAAAAGTAGAGAACTAGAGGGTCAGCTATACTGGACCTAATTCTTACTACTAGAGAAGAAATGATAGAAGGGGTTGAAATTGTGAGAACTTTGGGAGAGAATGACCATGTCATATTGGAATTCAATAAAGGGTGGGATCTGACTGGGTTAACTACCAGTTCGGTCATTTACGAGGTTCGGTGATTTACGATGTGCTTCCCTGCACACTGCCACATGCGCCTGTAAATCGTCATCAGCACGCTGCGTGCAGAGAAGCAGCCTTTCAAAAAGCCCCCTTTTCCTGCTTTTTTAACTGCAGCTGTGCCTTGCACGGCAGCTGAAGTTGAAAAAATCAGGAAATAAAGGTCAGGTAAGAACCCAGGTGGGTGGGTGGGCAAAAACATCAGCAGAAATAGAACCGGTTCTACGCCTGCTGCTCTTCAGCGCTACCGGTTCTACAGAGGTGGATAGAACCGGTAGAAACCCACCCCTGATTTCAATGTAATGCAGACACAAACAACAGAACAAAGTCAAATGTGCCTTAGACTTCACCAGAGCTGATTTCCAAAAAGTTAGAAAGAGCTTGGGTAGGATTCCATGGATGAAAATCTTGAAGATCTTTTAGTCCAACCTCCTTGTAAAGTAGGAGACCCTGTACCAAGGTTCTTCATACTTGACAGCTTTAACACTTGTGGACTTCAACTCCCAGAATTCCTGAGCTAACATGACTGGAGGAGAAATTCTGGGAGTTAAAGTCCACAAGTGTTAAAGCTGTCAAGTATGAAGACCCCTGCCCTATATCATTCTGGACAAATAGAAGTCTCTTCTTGAAAACCACCAGTGATGGAGTATCCAACAACTCCTGAAGGCAAGCCATTCCACTATATAATTGTTCCCACAGTCAAGAAATTTCTCCTAAATTCTAGTTGGATCTCTCTTTGATAAGCCATTACTTCTTGTCCTATCCCCAGGTGCTTTGGATAGCAGGCTGACCCCTTTTCTCTGTGACAGTATAAAGGCTTCAAAATTATTGGAAATCTGAATAGGAAGGAACATTTTATATGTTTGGTCAATATGTAAAAAACCTAAAAAATCATAGATTCAAATGTATATACTGATTCAAAGGATTAAAGATTAACATACAATTGAAACCAGAGAATTTTCTTTGAGGCCTGATAGGCAAACTGCTGGAAAAAGGACATGGATTTCTGTTTTTATACAAGCAAAATTATTGCATGCATAAAGTTAAAAACATTTGGTACCACCTACGTTGGAGGAATGTTTGGCAAAGATGCGGGAATTGAAATGCGCAGATTGACTTCTTTGATAAAAAAAGTGCTGACTGGACACTCTTTATAGCCTTTTTGCATGAAACAGGAAAAATGAACTTATGATTCATGGTTTACTTTTAGTTTTCTCTTTGATTTTTTTCTTCTTTTATTTTTCTCACCTCATATTACTTTTTAATCTTTTTAAGCAGACAGGGAGAGGGAGGGAGGGAGGGAGAGAGAGAGAGAGAGAGAGTGCTAAACAATAACCCAAGGAAAATGGAACCGCATCAGAGTGTACCAGCCAGCCCAACAATAAAGCAATTGCTTTCTAAACAGAAACCCTCCAAACAAATTATAGGAAGAAAAATTTAATGGCAAGAACATCAAGTGAATGAACATTTTAAATACATTTTGTAGTGGTGGAGTTAGAAAATGCCATTAAGCTTATGAAATCTGGCAAAACGTCTGGCCTGGGTGACATTCAGTCTGAGCTAATCAAGCACCTTGGAATGACTCTTGAAATTCTGCTTTCAAAGACAGGCCATGAGTTCCACTCTGGAAGAGTGGAGAGATCTTCACTGCCACCTTGCTGGGACCACCTCTAACAGATGACAATCATGGACAACCACTGAGGCTGGCATTCGAGGTGCCCTTGTGCGGAATTCACCATGACTACTTTCACCACCATCACCATGCTTATATTATTCAAAATATTGTTATCTTATCTTTCTTGGAAGGTCTCCCACTCTATAACTCTGATGTGTAGCTTTGGATCCTTTTTAAAAGTTGCAACTGGCACACCTACATCCCTCAAGTAATGTCTTTGTGTGGTGCACTATTTGCACACCGGGTTGCAGTGGCCCTGTCCAGTGTGTCATTCTTTCACCCAAAATAATTCAAATTAAAAAAAAAAACTAGATCTCAATCAGGAAAGCCACGTGTGGGCAAAATGTTGAACTTTACCCAATGTAGTTTTAATCGATGCCAAATCACAAGCACAGGCATTGTGGCCTTTGGACAGCATACAACTCTATGAACCATTGTGTGCTGCTATGGAAAGCTCCCGTTTGAACGGATACAAATGATTGCTCACCGAAGCATTGCTGAGTTTTACGGCCAGCTGATGGTGGGTTCAACAGAAGAGTTTTTTTATCCCCAGGAAATGTGCTGGCATCCCTCTTCTTCTTTGTCAGCTAATCCACATAAGCACAAAAAGCTTCATCTGTGGTGATGCTCAAACCACAGGAATTTATTCAGATTAAAAGACACCAAGAGCAGCATTAGAAAAGCTGAACATCTATTATGCTGCCAGTCAAGTGAGCCCAAATGCAGTTAAGTCTGACGACTGCATTGCCCAGTCATGATGCAAACCAGAATGAAATGTCAATTGCTGTGGGCCGTCTTTGACACACTAGAAAACCCAGTAGACCTTGTGGGCTGATCCTCGGCTGTTGCCAAGCCCCCATTGTTGCTTATTCCCAAGGAAGCTTGACTGGCCTGGGATGGGCAAGGATAGGCAAGCTCTGGCAACAGAGCTGGCTCAGGAAGTCTCGGGGTTGAAATCCACAGGTTGTAAAGTTGACGACACAGCCTGACACAGAGTCTTATCAAAGGGGGGTGGGGGGGACATAGGTTGGTTGCCAAAATCTTGGCAACTGAATATGTTTTCCTGAGAAGCTCATTTAAGTTTGTTAGAATGGAGGTTTTTATAATGAGGGTTTGTAACTTTAACCTTTAAGATGGAGGGCCGGAGGAAAGGAGAGTCAGGGCCCAGATAGTTTTGCCCAACATCCCCAGCCCAGTTGGCTATTCCATCCAGACCATGACTTCCAGGAGGTGAGTATTCCTTTCTGCTGGAGCTGGCACTGAACATGACAGAGACACCACAAGGGAGGGCTACTCCGAAGCCTTCCTGCCTCTCCTGGGCTGGAAACCCAGCTGGACTGAGGGGAGGCCAAATCTGCCCGAC